CGCCACCCCCCTACGTTTCTACACCTCCTCTCCCCTCCCCCTATCCCATCCCACCTCCAGCGACTCCAAAAAAGGGAAAAATTGTGAGGAAAAACGGTTCTTTTCTTGTTTTTCTCAAAATTTAAAATTTTTTATTTAACAAGCAAAACAACTTTTTTTTAGAACAACCAAAATTTTAAGAGATATTTGTTGAAATAATATAGAACTACGGAAAAATACTGCTGTAATGGAAAATAACTGAGACAATCCAGGCACACAGAAATACTGCACGAGATAAGGACATATGGGAGGAGAAAGAAGGAAGGGGTGAGGAGAGTACGCTTTTTGAACGAAAAAAAAATTGAGAAATTTCTTTAAAAAAGTCTTATCAACAATATCAAAGTTTTTTTAACTGCATCGGCCGGTTCAATAGTGTATCTTTTTGATATGTGTGATTTTTTTTCTATTTAGGATTTCGCGCAAAACGTGATTTGCCACGTTTCAATTCCGCCTGAATATCCTCCACTGTTCGTCCTTTGGTTTCCGGGACATACATCCAGGTGAAGAACGTGAAGAATGCCAAGAAGCCAGAGAAAATGAGGAAAGCATACTGGTGCAGGACTTGCTGAAATTTGAAAGATTTTTTTTCCTGGAGATATGAAATTCAGGGCAGAAAAACCTGGCACTGCTGTAACTGGCATAAGGGCGCATCCCAGCAACATACCTGATACCAGATTTAGAAAATCACTGTCTGCTGACTGCACGAAAAAAACTATCAAGAAAGCAGATGCACTTTCAGTGTTCCAGAAAGAAGGGAAGACGATTACTATCGGAACTAGTTATCATCGATCAAAATGGCTTGTCAGGTACGCTGCTCTATTTTTTTTTCGTCAAATTTGGCGCTAATTTAGCAAATTGATCATTTTCTGGACCAGTTTGATAAACCTGCTTACCAAGTTTTGTCTTGCGCTGCTTTGAATTAGCTCAGTGACGCATTTCTAATTAAATTTATTTCACCACTCTGAGCGCTTTCTGATTATAAAAGAGAATTTTGAAGGTGGCTTCGAAAATCTATTCGACCAACAGTTATGAATTTTAATACTATCGTTATTTTTTTACCAAAAGTCGCGTATGAAAAACAAAGTAATAGAATTTACGTTGAGATATTCGAACGAGGTGCCGACAAGGAAGTTCGCTGTCCAGTTCGTTGCTGCGGCGATCGAATTTGCAGCACCACGGGCTCCAGAAGTGAACAGCTCCGAGACAAAGAACCAGGGGATTGAACCTGCAAAATGCGAAAAAATTTTAAAAAGCCTATTAATCGTGACCTGAAATTTACTGAAACAGTTTAATGTCCTAGCTACAAGCTCATATCCGAGCATGAGTTCAGTGAGGATTCTCAAGTAAGTTTGACAAAAAACGATACGCTTTGAGTTTGAAGATGAAAATTTGACTCGCTTATTAGTCGATGCGCACTGAGCATCCTGAGCAGTTCGTCTAACCCGAAACACTTCTGAGGTGGATGGGTTCATTTGAAAGCCTATCTGTCTTTGTAGATGTTGTAAGAACAGAATAGAGAAGTTATCAGTTGCATCAATGACGAAAAGGAGCACAACGACGAAACAAAAGCTGAGTATTCCAGTCGCAGTGAAACCGAAAAACCAAGTGATCACGATAATCATGATGCTGCCGATCAATCAAATTGAAGAATTCATTATCAAAATCTTGTGGGAATTATTACCTGGACCCGTGGCGAAGAAAATGACGAAGAGGAAAACGAAAATGCAAGCCGGATACGATGCCCATTTGTTGTGCGCCTTGTCCGCAACCTAAACGAAAAAACTGCCTTTTACTCACAAAAAACAGCGAAATTTACGAATGAGAAACACCAAAAATTAATGGGCATGCTGTAGTAATATGGTGCTTATCCTCTGAGTTGGAGTTGTAGTTCCAATCCACTAGCGAAAAAACTGTCCCGCTATGGATTCGATGACTTTTTGGATGGTAAACTGATTTTGATGTATTCAGAGCAAGTCAGACTGTTTATAAACTCAAACAAATCTTGAAAAAAAAAACACCGAAAAAATTGCAGAAGTATGGTTGATACCAGTAAAGTGCTATCGCTTAGGCTATTTCTGAGCGCATTCTCTTTTAAACAAAATCCAGTGTAGAGGTAGCTTTCATAATAGTGTTATTTGTTTTAGGAAAAAAATCAAACGAATAATAAAGCGAAAATTCAGAGGGAGCGATGGGGAGCAAGAGAATTTGCTAAACTTTCAGGAAAGATCGTTAAAAAAAATCTGTGTAAAAATAACTGATTATTTCACGAAAAATTGAGGATATCCAGTAAAGCATAAATGGGAAATTTGCTAGACGGTTGCATGAAAAAGACTGTCAGGTTTACTCTGATTCAAACTGATGCTTTAACTCTGTCAGACTCAAACTGATGCTTTAAAGACGGCAGAGAAGTAACATCAATAAACTGCTGAAATATCTTACATAGATCGAAATGAATGCAGTGATGGCGATTGAGGCGAAGAACATCCCGATTAAGCCGATCATGAGTAACATAACGCGTCCACATTTGGGATGGTCAACCTGAAAAACTCCCCAACTCATGAATCAATTCCTCAGCAATTCACTTAAAACTTTTACGGATTTTGGGTTAGCTCCCGTACCATATTAGGGGGAAGTGGGAAGGCCTGGCACTGCTGCACCTGTAGTGTGGATACATCTGAAGGACGTCAAAAACATTGTTCACAATGATTACTCGACAAATTTTTTCCAGTAATCCTGGTGATTTAGAATAATGGAGATAAACAAAAGAAGGTTCTGCTCTGCTTACGGCATAAACAAACCCTCCTACGACTTAATACATTCCAATGGCAATTTGGCACTGGCATATGTCAGGGAGACAAGTCCTCTACCAATTTACTTTTAATCAACCTTCGAATGGCGGACCCATCAACAGTCTGGCTATCGGGTGGTTGCTGTTTGCTCGTCTCTAGTGCGAGCAAATATGGAAGAATTTTTAAATTTTGAAAATATAAAGATTCGATTCTTATTATTTCCCTCAGGTAAATGTGCTCAAACATTTGAATGAAAAAAAACTAACCAAATAGACAGAGATGATAGTCATGAGGACGTTGATGAATCCCATCACGAGTGTTGCGTAGACAGCATTCTCGCCCATTCCAGCGCCTTCGAAAATCATGGTGGAGAAGAACATGGCGACATTGATACCGGAGAACTGCTGGGCAATCATCATCATGATCGCAATGAACATCGGCCAGAACAGTTCACCACGGAACAGATCCAAAATCCCCATTTTCGGTACAGCGTTAATTCTCGCCTGCTCCTCTTTCATTAAATCAATTTCCGCTTTTACCTGTAA